AATGTCTACACTGTATTTCTGATCAATTTGATGTTATTTTAATGGACAAAAAAAATGCTTTTCTTTCGAAAACAAGGACATTTCTAAGTGACCCCAAACTTTTGAACAGTAGTGTATAGCAAAGGGATGTAACCCAAACAAAGAGTGAGGTGTAACCTCTACACAATACACGGGACGAGACCCGTAAACAACAAGGGCACAATACACGGTACTCACAAGACCAACGGACATGGGACAAGACAGTCCGGGGTTGGTGGTAATGATCCATGTCAGTGACGCCTAGAAAGCCGGTGATGTAGATCTCCGGAACTGGTGAACGGAATGAGCAGCAGTACCGGGGAATCCGTTTTTCATGACTTTAACAGAACGTTTCCTAAAAGTTCAATCATGGTTACATTTAATTTCAATTTTGGTAATGTTCTAGGAACGTTCTACAACTGGTTTGACATTGGCAATGTTCTCAAATACAGTTGAAGTCGAAGTTTACATACACCTTAGCCAAATACATTTAAACTCAGTTTTTCACAATTCCTGACATTTAATCCTAGTAAAAATTCCCTGTCTTAGGTCAGTTAGGATCACCACTTTATTTTAAGAATGTGAAATGTCAGAATAATAGTAGAGAGAATTATTTATTCAGCTTTTATTTATTTCATCACATTCCCAGTGGGTCAGAAGTTTACATACACTCAATTAGTATTTGGTAGCATTTGGTCAAACGTTTTGGGTAGCCTTCCACAAGCTTCCCACAATAAGTTGGGTGAATTTTGGCCCATTCCTCCTGACAGAGCTGGTGTAACTCAGTCAGGTTTGTAGGCCTCCTTGCTCGCACACGCTTTTTCAGTTCTGCCCACACATTTTCTATAGGATTGAGGTCAGGGCTTTGTGATGGCCACTCCAATACCTTGACTTTGTTGTCCTTAAGCCATTTTTCCACCTTTGGAAGTATGCTTGGGGTCATTGTCCATTTGGAAGACCCATTTGCGACCAAGCTTTAACTTCCTGACTGATGTCTTGAGATGTTGGTTCAATATATCCAAATAATCTTCCTTCCTCATGTCACGTTCGTTGAGTACAGGATTGGACCAAGGTGCAGCGTGGAATGCATACATGTTTATTCACTAAGTGAACACACGACAAAACAACAAAAGCAACGTAATGTGAAGCTCACAATGGCTACACACAAACAAGCCAAACAAGAGTCAAGATCCCACAACATAGGTAGGCAAAATGGCTACCTAAGTATGATCCCCAATCAGAGACAACGATCGACAGCTGCCTCTGATTGGGAACCACACCCGTCCAACATAGATCTAAACATACTAGATCTACACATAGATATACACATTACATAGATCCTCACACCCTGACCAAACCAACTAGCGAACTCTATGTCAGGGCGTGACACCTCATCATGCCATCTATTTTGTGAAGTGCACCAGTCCCTCCTGCAGCAAAGCACCCCCACAGCATGATGCTGCCACCCCGTGCTTCACGGTTGGGATGGTGTTCTTCGGCTTGCAAGCGTTCCCCTTTTTCCTCCAAACAGAACGATGGTCATTATGGCCAAACAGTTCTATTTTTGTTTCATCAGACCAGAAGACATTTCTCCAAAAAGTACAATCTTTGTCCCCATGTGCAGTTGCAAACCGTAGTCTGGCTTTTTTATGGCGGTTTTGGAGCAGTGGCTTCTTCCTTGCTGAGCGGCCTTTCAGGTTATGTCGATATAGGACTGGTTTTACTGTGGATATAGATACTTTTGTACCTGTTTCCTCTAGCATCATCACATGGTCCTTTGCTGTTGTTTTGGGATTGATTTGCACTTTTCGCACCAAAGTACGTTCATCTCTAGGAGACAGAACACGTCACCTTCCTGAGCGGTATGACGGCTGCGTGGTCCCATGGTGTTTATACTTGCGTACTATTGTTTGTACAGATGAACATGGTACCTTCAGGCGTTTAGAAATTGCTCCCAAGGATGAACCATTACATTTTAGTCATTTAGCAGACGCTCTTATCCAGAGCGACTTACAGTTAGTGAGTGCATACATTATTATGTGTGAATTGAACCCACAACCCTGGCGTTGCAATCGCCATGCTCTACCAACTGAGCTACATCCCTGCTGGCCATTCCCTCCCCTACCCTGGACGACACTGGGCCAATTGTGCGCCGCCCCATGGGTCTCCCGGTCACGGCCGGCTACGACAGAGCCTGAATTCGAACCAGGATCTCTAGTGGCACAGCTAGCACTGCGATGCAGTGCCTTAGACCACTGCGCCACTCGGGAGACTTGTGGAGGTCTACAAAAAAAATTCTGAGGTCTTGGCTGATTGAAATACATCCACAGGTACACCTCCAATTGACTCAATTAGCCTATCAGAAGCTTCTAAAGCCATGACATCATTTTCTGGAATTTTCCAAGCTGTTTAAAGGTACAGTCAACAAAGATGTCATCAAGGAAAAGAGTGGCTATTTGAAGAATCTCAAATATAAAATACTTTTTTGGTTACTACATGATTCCATATGTGTTATTTCATAGTTTTTATGTCTTCACTATTATTCTACAATGTAAAAAAAACAGTAAAAATAAGGAAAAACCCTTGAATGAGTAGGTGTGTCCAAACTTTTGACTGGTACTGTATATATATATATATATATATATATATATATATATATATATATATATATATATATATATATATATATATATATATGTATATACAAGCACTGAGATGCAGTGCCTTAGGCCACTGCGCCACTCTCACCTGAAAACGTCTTTTTTTTTTAGGGGGGTAGATTGTTGGTTCTATCAATGTAATTGTTTGCATAATTTCTAATCCCAGAACCAACAATTAGAAATTATGCAAACAATTACATTGATAGAACCAACAATCTAGCCCCCTAAAAAAAAGACGTTTTCAGGTGAGAGTGGCGCAGTGGCCTAAGGCACTGCATCTCAGTGCTTGAGGCGTCACTACAGACCCCCTGGTTCGATTCCTGGCTGTATCACAACCGGCCATGATTGGGAGTCCCATAGGGCGGCGCACAATTGGCCCAGCGTCGTCTGGGTTTGGCCGGTGTAGGCCATCATTGTAAATAAGAATTTGTTCTTAACTGACTTGCCTAGTTAAATATGGGTAAAATAAAAAAAGAGGGCATGTGTATTAATTGTCCACACCTGATCGTAATGAGTACTTGTTTCCTTAAAAAATTGGGGTCTGTTTGAATAGACAAATATGAACAGCTTTGTATGTGAAAAGAAAACATGCTATACTAGCTCCATCCTGTTGGTGCAGTGGACTAATTCCATTGATAGAGAACAGAAGATTATAGGTTAGAATCTCACTGATGCTGTGTCACACTAAAAAAATTAATGTGTTTGCATGGTTAATGCCTAAGAAAATGAAATTCCATGTGTCCTATGTGCTTGGAGTTTTTAAAAAAGTTAACCCAAAATAAGCTAGCAGTGTTATTCAAAGTCTTATTGAAACATTCAGTGAAAGTTAAGGAAGTTATTAAAAAACTTCCAAATAACCTATAATTCCCATCTCAGACTGTTAATAAAACCTCCCAGGAAAACTTTAATGGAACCATAGTAAAACGTTATCAGAACCTCCCTGCAACCTAAAAATGTATGTTCCCAGAACAGGTAACATTTTCACTGCCGTTCTCAGAACGTTTACAAAACTTTCCGTTTTTCCAGTCAGAAAACGTGTGGTTTCGTTCCCAGAACCAATGGCAAATCAAAAACGTACGTTCCCAGAACTTCCAAGGAACCAAATGTGCTAGCTGGGTATAGATTTTACTAGGCCTATAAATACAGTATATTTTTAAATGTTAAAACAGGCTATGGGGCTGGCAGGATTCCACAAAGAACCACAGGTCTTGTCAGTGGCTCTTCACTAAGAGGCTAGTACAATCAGTGTTCACATGCAGTTTTAATTGTCAATGTATCTCAATGGCACAGCACACAGGTGAAAGCACAATAAACTAGTGTAAAAAAAAGTCACAAGCAAAGTTTACACAATACTATGAAGCATTAATATAAAATGTTGCAAGCCCTTAAATGTAGCCTACTAATGAACACAGTATCACAATAATTACCTTGCTGGTGGTCTCCAAGTCCACACAGCTACCGAACACAAATTGAAGTCAAGATTACATATGGCAGAAAATGCACCGCAATTTCTATGCTCCTAGCCAGTAGGTGGCGAATGCACACTAAATTGTGCGGACGCAAATATATCAAAGAAGATGAAGGAGATGGTGCATTTAAGCCCTGAACGATGCCTGACAGGCAACTCTGTCTCAGGCTGCGTGTCGCCCCCAAGACCACAGCCAATCGCATGCAAGAAACAACGCAGCTAACTTGACTAGTCTTGTGAGCTAGCTAGTTAACTAGGTAGTCTTGTTAGCAAGCTAGTTTGTTATCTAGGCAGAATCCTGACTTATCAGCCTCTGAGGCTGCTATTGAATCTGATCAGCCTGCCAGGGGTAGAGCTCACCCACTCTGGATCATATGCAAGGCACTGACTGCTAATCTGCCTGCAAGGAGCTTTACCTATAAAACAGCCTATAAGGCAGAATCCTGATTTATCAGCCTCTGAGGCTGCTATTGAATCTGATCAATCTCTAAGGCTGAAATTGAATCTGATCAGGCTGCCAGGAATGGAGCTCACCCACTCTGTAAATGTTAATATTATCGACAAAACATGAACTGTCCCTTATAATTATACGCAAATCAGTTATGCACGCTAACAACCAGCACAGATAACAAGCTAGCTTGCTAACAAGACTACCTAGCTAACTAGCTGGCTTGCTCACAAGACTAGCCAAGTTAGCTGCATTGTTACTTGCATGCGATTTGCTGTAGTCTTTGGAGCAGCAAGCGGCGTAGGAGTCAGAGCTACCTGTTGGGCATCGTTCAGGGCTTAAATGTCCCACGAGCATTGGCGTGTAGGGCAGGCTAAACATCCGAGAATACAAAGAAAGCGGCACCATGGCCGAAATATCTCTTTATCTCACCAACGTGAATGTGTCTTTGGGCCAAACGATGGACGTAGAGAAGGTAGGCTCAGCAGGTCAAGATTATGAAAAGTGTTTATAATCGGTCCTGTATAATCGGTGTTTTCAGACCAGCTAGCTCGCTAGTTACTACAATTCAGTGCATCTATGTTTTCGTGGCTGTCGTCGTCTCATGCTGATGCTTATAACGTAGGCTATACTACCGGTAGGCCTATGTAAAATTCTGACATTGATGCACATAGAATGGGTTTTCTTCCTTGATGAAGCAGTGTGTTTTATGATTATCTAATTGTGGATAAGCAGCCTGTCACCAACAAGCACTGTTTTGTGTGTGTGTGTACATTCCTCTCGTGCTTCTATTATATCCCTGCCGATGTTCGTGTGAGCCCGCCTTCTTCTGTGGATATCTCATGGCGCTGCAGTGACTGACAATTTATGTCTTGTCTGTTTGTCCAGAGCCCCAGCTCAGGGAAGGACTTTGAGAGTGTGCAGCTGGGAGACCTGGAGAAGGGGGAACAGAAAGAAGAAAAAGCCCCACGAAGGATCATCCATTTCTCTAGCGGAGAAACCATGGAAGAGTACAGTACAGACGAGGAGGAGGAGGGGGAGGACAAGGAACCAGAGAAGGACCTACTGTCCCCCCCTGTCAATGCGGTGAGGGTGTGTAGTGTGTTAAATAGAAGTATATGTGTGTTTAGTTTGTTTGTGTGTATTTGACTGAAATGTACAATTAACGTCTGTACTTCCTATACTATGTGTTCCAAAACCTGGTAATAACACATGTTTGTGTGTGTCAGACCAAGCTGACCTGGGGCCCGTACTTTTGGTTCCATATGTGGAGAGCAGCTACCTCCACTGTTTCAGGTGGGTGCCTGACATGAGACAATATGTATTATAAACCTCTAGGGTTGATAGCCTTCTCCTGCCGTACATTACCTTGATACTGCCTTGAATACTATGCTGTTGGTAAAACTCAAAAAGGTGTATTTCAGCTTGTGACTACCTCGGGGAGAGGATGGCCTCGCTCTTTGGAATCACGTCGGCCAAATACCAGTACGCCATCGACGAGTATTACAGGATGAGGAAAGAGGTGTGTACACAACAAGCAGATAAGGGCCATCACTTAGAGGGCTTACATCTTGAAAGGGATTCCTAAAGTGCATAGCATTAAAAAAGGGCATAGAAGGGCATAGATGCTTTGCATGTGTATGTGTCTATGAGAGTATACATGTTGTAGTAGTAGTTGTAGTAGTAGGTGTGTTGTTGTAGTTGTAGTAGTGGGTGAGTTGTTGTTGTAGTAGTAGCTGTGTAGTTGTAGTAGTTGTAGTAGTAGGTGTGTTGTTGTTATAGTAGTAGTAGTAGTAGTAGGTGTGTTGTAGTAGTAGTAGTAGTAGTAGTAGGTGTGTTGTTGTAGTTGTAGTAGTAGGTTTGTTGTTGGTGTTAGTATGTAGTAGTAGTCGTTAGTAGTAGTAGGTGGTGTTGTTAGTAGTAGTTAGGAGCGTGTGTTTGGAGTAGTAGTAGTAGGTTGTGTGTTGGTAGTAGTGAGTAGTAGTAGTAGTAGTAGTAGGGTTGTGTTTTGTAGTAGTAGTAGTAGTTAGTTAGTAGTAGTTAGTAGGGTGTGTTGTTGTTGTAGTAGTAGTAGTAGTAGGTTGTGTTGTTGGAGGTAGGTAGTAGTAGTAGTAGGTGGTTGTTGTTTTGTAGTGTAGTAGTAGTATGGTAGGTGTGTTGTTGTTTGGTTGTTAGTCGTAAGTAGTAGTAGTAGTAGGTGTGTTGTTGTTGTAGTAGTAGGTGTGTTGTTGTAGTAGTAGTAGTAGTAGTAGGTGTGTTGTTGTTGTTGGTAGTAGTAGTAGTAGTTGTAGTAGTAGTAGGTGTGTTGTTGTTGTAGTAGTAGTAGTAGTAGTAGTAGTAGTAGGTGTGTTGTTGTAGTAGTAGTAGTAGTAGTAGTAGGTGTGTTGTTGTTGTTGTTGTAGTAGTAGGTGTGTTGTTGTTTGTAGTAGTAGTAGTAGTAGTAGTAGTAGTAGTAATAACCTAATCCCCAGGCTCAATTGCTACTGCATATAGAGCCTGGAAACACTGTGCAACAAGTGGGACTTGAAACGGTGGGAGAGAGAGGGAGCCTGCTGCAGCTGTATTAGATGGGACTATGAAAATACATGTTCTATCACAGTGACCACATTCTTTTTGGGAAGCCCAATTGATGCTGAGTTCGGGCATATAAAGTTTATATGTGTCAACTATTTCTAAGATATGCATACTTTCCGATTTCCCGAACTCACTTCTTTGTTCAGCCTAAATCACGTGCACTGCTCGCACTTGGAAATCCAGAGGGGTGTTTCTAAGGGTTATGCTGGATGGTGATAGACTACGAGCACAGCCAATTAAAACCAGCGGTTGTTTCTTCCGCTCCTGCCATAGACTTCCAGTCAAGTCCCGTTCTAAGGCACTCTGAAACCAGACGTCTCGACAGAGAGGGCCGGATGGTGGGCGAGATTATAGTAGTAGTAGTCTGAATCACATTATTTCTATGAGCACTCCAGTAACCTCTATAGAAATGTTTGTGGCCATACGCACATCCTTAAAAACATAGGTGCTGGGCTGATAAAGAATACTAGTAAAGAACAAGGCCTGCACACTCTTTAAACTCCCAATTCACCACTTTATTGACTACGTTTCGATCTGAAACGGATCTTCGTCAGGTCAAAAACACTCCAGTAACGTCCTCTACGACAGTGGTATACCCCACTGCCACCCGGGGGATTTGCAGTGGGGTAAAATAAAATGTATAGTACTTTTTGTGGGGGGGGACAAAGAATGAAGAGTACAGATTATTGTATGGGACAATATACAAATGTTTTTGAGAAAGATAATTTGAAAACTTTATTGGTTCTCTTAATTTTGAGAGATGAAAAGGAATTGAAGGTTATTTGTTGATGTTGAAATCGAAATTTACAGATTTAAATTGTTTTATAAGACATTGGGGTCGGCAGAAATTCTGGCTGGAAAAAAATGTGGTCCCCGCTAAAAAAGTTTGAATACCTCTGCTCTACGAGTATTACAGGATGAAGAAAGAGGTAGGTCTCTATACAGTAGTTTAAATCAGTATGAGATTACTAGTCTCACATTGATCACACCACATCTGGCCAGGGTTTAGGTTATGAGATCACTAAGACGGAGCCACATTCACTTGAAATGGATGCTTAAAGGGCATTGATGGTTCACATGTTTGTGTTTATGAACATTCCAGTAACTTCTTCTTGTCTTTCCTTCCCAGAAGGAGGAGGAAGATGAGGACAACCGGTTATCAGAGGAGGCGGAGCAATACTTTGACGAGAATCAGGACGAGGAGATCCATGGACCAATGACGGATCAGCTAGAGGGAACCACTACCATCCCCCACACCACAGTCACCTATCAGGTTGAGAAAGAGCCCAAGGCCACACCCACGCCTACTGCCATCAGGGTCCCAGCCATTGTCACAACAACAACCTAACTGACTTCTGGAGAGATGGTTATGTGTTGTCCATGTTTGTTTTGTTTTCATTTGTCAAGGAGGTGGAGGCGCTCTGGGGTCTGTCTCTCTGACAGTGCTGAACGATGAGTTATTTTTCGGTTTTTAAAGAACTAAGTGACCGACGTCGGTTCAATTATTTGATCTCCCTTAATTTCTGGTTTTTCTGTGAGCTCAATGAGCACATTGCACAGTTTCTCCAGAGATACATCAGATCCAGACTGAATTGTGCGATGTAGTACAGAGTTTCCAACAGGCCAATATTCTACATAGTTTAGTGCATAAAACGTGGTAATTAACTACAATGCCCATAATCCACTGCGCATCTACTTGTCCGGTCTGTGTTGCATTTACTACTGCTACTGAAGAGAGAAGCATGCGTGATTATGAGGTCATATAGAGAACAGCTGTTGTTTTGCGAGGTATCTCTACCTGAAAATACATGATCTAAGTGATTGATATTGGTAGCAATCATTTGGTATTCAGCAATCATAAAAGTATGCCTTATTTACTTTTAAGAACTACTAAAATAGTGATTTTGTCAGACAGCTTAGGCAGCAGCTCCATAGAGATGAGATGTTGACTTGGAATGAAATAAAGTCATAAAAATAAAAAAAAGTAATATACACAACAACTGCAGTATTATATTAAAGTAATGTGAATAAATGATGGTTAATAAGTGTAATGGAGAGTCACCACCATCATGGGACTTTTAGTCATAGGGTTTTTTTCTGTGTTACAGCATTCAACCCACATCATGCATTGCGCATTTAATGTTTACAAAAATTATCTAAACCGAAATTGAAAACCATGATAATTTTTTAAATAATCGAACCGAAACCAATCCGAACTCAAAAAGTACTAATCGCTCTGCACTACTCTCTGAGCTCACGTTTGGTTGTGGATATGAAAGAGCCATCTATAAACCTGGGAGTCAGACCTGCTACTGCTTTAACCCATGCCTCTGTCATTGTCATGACATTGATACCAGACTACAAAGAACTATGACAACAAACAGCAAAGGGCCATGACAGAGTAGCGACAAATACGTTTGTTTGTGTTTGAGTTGATTAAATCAGAAGCTGATCCGACTACCAGGGCTAGCCTTCAGTGGACAGGCACAGTCTGGTATGGTAGTAGTACTGTGTCGTTACCTATGTGTTTCCAGTGGCCCTTACCCCTAACTGGAGGCTGGTCCTAACATTCCAACCTGGTGTCTATCTATCTGTCTGGTGCCTCTGAAGGGCTGTGTTTGTGCCTGAACCACAGAGCCAAGTAGTAGCCTAAACCTTAATGCACTCTAACACAGGAAGCCTTCCTCCTTTATACACTACTACTAGCATTTCACTCACTTTGTTTTAATTTAGACAACATTTGTTTGAAATACTTGGTTGAGCACTGACCTAAACATGGTTTGTTGTTTCCCTGTGTAGCCTTACTGCCTTGTGGTCACTTGGTGACTTGTAATTTGAAAACATATTTTCAGGCTATGGGGTGTAGATTAGATTTTGTAAAGGGAGTATAATCTATTTCATATTTGTTATTACTAGTCCATTGGCCTAATGCACTGTTACCCCTGTTGTAAATTAACTTTTATGTTAAACCTTTTTTGATATTCACATATGTATTTATTTATTTTGTATTTTCTGAGCACTTTTTTACAATTTACTTTATGTAACAACACCTTGATAAACTGTTAATAAATACACTTAACTATGCTTTAACTACAGTATATTCTCGTCTGTCTTGTCATGTTGGTCAGTCTGCTAGGATCCGTGGTGGATACTCTGTCTGTCTCATGTGATGGTACTGTGTCTGTGAGAGAGTGACACATGATTATCTTTGTCTTTATAGCTTAACAAAGACTTCTGTGTCCTTTTCTAGAACTGGTTGAGGTGACATTCTGTTGGCTAACGTCACAATGCAGCCAATCCCAGGTCAGGTCATTGTGTGGGCTTCTCTCTCTAGTCCAGAATGACCTACAGCTATGACCTCTCTCTCAACATTAAGAGATAGCTAGAAAACCATACACAGTGACCTGCTGATCTCCATTTACTTACCATAGCACATATATTGTCTCATAGGAGAATGTAGGAGTCATTTCTCTATGGATCATAATAGCCAAAAGTAACCGTATATTTACTTTTGCACTGTAGTTCTGGGTGGTTGTACCATGGTGAGAGACAGTTACTCAGCGTTGCATAGCGTAGGGGGGTCTGTGCCGTGAAAACGCCCAGCCAGACAACACAAGGACAGCCTTATACTGCAAACAAACCCTCAGTCATCCCACTGTCCAGTCAGCATGGCCGGACACAGTGACACTCACGGACAGTTCACTACGGCAACAAAATAAGCTATAGACAGACAGAGTGGCACTCATACACCAGACTGAGACTGGCAGTGGATCACGATGTATTTTTGGGTTTAGATTATATGTTAGAGTAACAACTCTGTAACTATTGGGTGACCAATCGAGACTGGCTATACACTGTCATTCAACTAGATTCTAGAAATTCTAATCTACACAAATATTCCACTAGATGGTGCTATTGTACAATTACAAAGGAGGCTGTAGTCCTAAAAACCTGGAAATTAGTTTCCTCTGGTTCGTTCAGCCATTCCTATGGGGTTAATGAATGGGGTTTTGGGATAAACACAGAAAGGTTAACACAGGCTTAGGAGATCTTATAGTTTTTTTTTCTATGAGATAATATCAGTCAGTTAACATGGCCTCTATGAATTATGAAGCCTTTATGTGCTTGTTTTGATTACACAAATACTTCACAATTCACAAAAAAGTGATAGCTGATGAAGATGATCTCATAGAACAAAACGTATAAGATCTCCAAAGCCTGTGTTTACCACAGACCTTATTTTCCGCATTTATCCAAAAACCTGATTCATTTCCCCATAGGCTTTGACCAATGAGCCATGGCGGAGTTAGTACCTACAAAAAGACTACATTACTATTGCTCTCTACAGAGCCAAACAATAAACACCTGTGCTGACTGTGGCTGTGCTCCACTGTTTGATGACACAAGGAGAAATATGAGGAAAGAATATAAAACAAAGGATGGACTGTAGTGGCGGTTTTGATAGGAAGCCTTGTTCAGAGCTTGTGTGGGAGCAATTTGTTTGTATGAGTGGCTTGACCCTTCTTTACAGGATGTTTTGGCAGTTGGAAGTCTGTTTGGTTTGTCAGTTGTGTGTGAAGAGAAGGTCCTCTTATTCCCTGGCCTAGCCTGGCAGACAATGATACACACAGCAGTCATCTGGGACAATGTGTGTGATAATGTGTGTGATTAAGGAGGGAAAATCCAGATTTACTCCACAATGCCATTTCTTGTGTGTGTGTACGTGTGTGTTTGCGCTCACGTGTGAATGCATGCGTCAACATTTTCTCAGGCCTACCTGAAATATTTGCATTTACCTTATATCTGAAATATTTGCATAACATCTCAGTCTGGGAACAACACATGTATCTTACTCATTTCACTCATCTAGCCATTGTACCTTAGCCTGGTCCCACTGCATGGCATGACACATACAGTATAAAGGAGTTGGCTGCAGCACATAGAGTAGTATGAGATCAGACTAATGGTACCTGGCTGGCTGAGTCAGTCAGACAAGGCCTGATGAGTTGGCTAAAGCAGAAACACACAGGTTCTAGCTCTCATAGGCGCGCTGATTTAACTACATACTCTGGTTACAGATGGCACAGTAATTAGTAGAGCAGACTCTGTAATAGGAGGGCATAGCACAGCATGGTAGAACAGCTACCTGCTTAGCCAACCAGCCCAGCCACACGCCCAATGAGTTGAGAGATGAGAATAGCAGCAGCCACGCCCCTCTCTGCCTCCGCCACAGTGGGCCTCTGCTGCGGTCAGCCAAGCCTCTTATTTAGGCCCTACTGTCAGCCAGAGGAGAAGGGGATTTCCACACCACTCAGTCTCCTTCTGTGTGTGTGTGTGTGTGTGTGTGTGCGTGCGTGTGCGTGTGTGCATGTGTGTGCGTGAATGCTTCCTTATAAGGTTACTTAACAGTCTGACTAAAACCGTGGTCAACTCTTCTTCCCTGTCTCTCCTGGGGCAAAACAACATAGAAGAAGAATACTATAAACCTGGAATGCATGGCATGGAAGTGTTGGAGCTGAGGAACACCCTTCTAGAACATTTTACTACATTCCTATAGAATAAATTGAAGAATGGACAACATGCATGTTAGTGGGTATTGTGCAGTTTCCTGCAAAGTGTTATTGTGTCCAACTTTTCACCTTTGCATGTTACATTCTAGTCATAATCTGAAGTTTGTTGCTTTGAATTGTATACTTTGCATACTGCTAGGAGAAGACGGGTCTTTCAGTAACATGAGGCACATTCCATACATTGATCCAATAAAAACAAAAAGTAACAACCTAAACAGCATGGTAGTATTTCTTGAATAGTTCTTATGACTTCAAATGATTTTTCATGGCGTCAAAGGCAACATGAAATGGGGATTATTTTAGATCCTTTATGAGTACCATATAGGCTGTTCTTTGTTGTCGTGCGAGCAGGCTATTTTGTAATAGGTCCATGTTGCTTGTCTGGTCAGACTTGATAAGTGCGGTCTTCAGTAGTGTAAATAGCACAGTCTGTACTAGTGCACTTCACACACACGTAACCCTGGTCTGGAAAGTCCCTGACACACTACACTGATCTGCACTGCCTCCTTTCTACACAGCCTACACACAGCCTACACACAGCCTACACACAGCAGCAGAGCTGCTAACATACAGGAGGTGCCACCATAGCTGCCCATGCTGACACAAAAAATGCAACCATGCATTCACAAACTATATTGACCTGCAGCTGCTGACATATTCATGGGCCAAATGTCCATTAAACCATAAACCAATTATATAGCCTTGGCTCACACTGTTTCTCATCAGACATGGCAGAGAAATTCTAAGTGTGTGCCCTATTCCCTATATACTACTTTTGACCAGGGCCCATAGGGTGTCATGAATAGGGTGCCATTTGGGATGCACACTCTCTGCAGTATGTAATGAGAAACAATACCGTTGACCTCTAGTAGGACTTTTACTTCCTGATCTGTCTGAAATCCCCCAGACAACCATATATCCTTTATACCAGCTGGCAGCAGATCATGTGCTTCACAGACTGAGACTGAGACTGACTACCACGCATCCGTCAACTGCTCTGAGTCTGCAGCCGGTGGCCTGGCTAGGAGTAGGGCTTGAGCTGGTGCTGGCTCTGCCTCTGTCTGTGTGTAGTAGGATGGGGCTTGAGCTGGTGCTGGCTCT